GACCGAGAAAAATCGGTTCACCCTCCCATAAAAAGTTATCACTTCAAAAAACATGCTGATTTACAAGCGAAAAAATCTGTTTTCATATCAAAATATCGCCAATGTTTATCGCATGGTGCCGGCGTTTACTTTTTTCTTCAAACTTTAATGGGTGCTTAGTGGGGTTTAGTTGGTGATGTGAAGAAAATGGCGTATAAATATTGTATAGTGCCTATATCTCCTATACAGGGTGTCGCGTAAGCTCATGATCAAAAGAGTACTGCGATATTCTTTGGACCAAAAGGAGACGATCTGACCTAACTTTTATTAACAAATAATGTCTGGCTCCTCTGCTATTGATGGTCAAATTTCTTCAAAAAATKTATCTTATTTTGAAAAAGCGGGAGAATGGTACGATGTATTTTAGTGAAACTCGCTGTGATTTTTTTCTTTTGTAAGACTCATATTTTGATGWAACAATCGAGTTCATCCGTTTTGGAGAAGTGGTGAATTCTTGAGTGTCGTGGTACCAAAWCTACCAGAACTTTTTAGTTGCATGATGAAATCAACTCATTTTTTTTAGGTTGGTGCACTAGTCAGTTATTCACAATTTTGCGCTCWTTGTAAAATCTTGTAACATTYATAGTTTTTGCGAAAAAAAAWATTTGTYTCCTTGCCACTAAACAATGTTAGACATTAACTGCAAATATCGTGATATGAGGCATAAAATCATTGTCAGTCAATCTCACAWATTCGTTTTGAATGACCTTTTCTAATGAACSAGTGACCGACATGATCAAAGTGTYAGGGTTKTGCGAAGACAATTTGCGTGARAGCGTACGCGTTTACSCKGCGCATATTTGCAGTAAATGTCTAGCATTGCTAAGTGACTAGAAAACAGACATATTTTTTTTATACAAAAATTATGAATGCTACAAGATTTTACAAAGAGCACAAAATTGTGAATAAATGATTAGTGCATCAACCTAAAAAAAATGCGTTGATTTCATCCTCCAACTGATGGTGGTTTTTGTACAACGACACTCAAGTTCACCACTTGTCCAAAACCGCTGAACTCGATTGTTTCATGAAAATATGAGTCTTACATAAGAACAAATTCCCAGCGAGTTTCACTAAAATACATCGTACCATCCTCCCGATATTTCGAAAAAGATAATTTTTTTTAAGAACTTTGACCATCAATAGCAGAGGAGCCAGACATTTTTTGTTAATAAAAGTTAGGTCAGATAGTCTTCTTTTGGTCCAAAGAATATCGCAGTACCCTTTTGATCATGAGCTTACGAGACACCCTGTATGTAGGAGTACTACAGTGTTTACACCAGACAAAACATTTATAAACGTGCCT